ATAACATAAATACTAAATCCATAAATAAATAATTATTAAACTGAATAAAAGTACAACAAAATCTCGCGCGAATGCGCGGGTCATATTCTAGTATTAATAGAGGAGACACTAGATGAAAATCGTAGGTGTAATCCTAAGAGGGTTTTAAAAAACTTTTAATGAAGATTATTAAAACTCATAATGACATGGTCCATTAAAAAAAAAAGGTAAAGCCCAATTACCCACCGAAAAAACCTATTCCTTTTCAATTATTAGTTACGGCCATAACTAATTTAATATATATCATTGATGATTCTCTATATAAGTCATTACTCAACCATAAAGATTCGTGCTTATAAAATAATATATAGATCACATATATCATGTTGAAAATCTCTACATATTTACATTACTTTTTTAACATGAACTCACAATTACATATGTTACCAATTTAAATCCAACTAAAATATAATATTTTAATATTTTAATATTATATAACATAATGTTTTAACAATAAATTATTTACTGATGTTAATTACTTTATAAAAATTACATTTATGTCCATTTGAATACCATATGTGATTGATCATACAATTATTTTGTTTTTTATCGTTTAATTGTATCCATATTACTCTAATTAAAGTTGGACTTTTATTATAAACGTACAACTTTATGAATCAAACATTGATTTTTTATTTAAGAAGATTTACATACTACCGTAATTTGTTTTGTGTTTGGTGAGCTCAAATAAGTTTGAGAGATCCCATAATCTCAAACTTATTCGATTTACATTAAAACACTTACATTCAATCTAAATGTCATGCAGATTAAATTTTGTAAAATAAAATATATTTATCTAGATGGGAGCTAGATATACTATTTGATATTTTTGTTTTTAATTCTCCCGTATATTATAAAAATTATAATATTTTATTTTTAAATATTATAATCCCGCGTTTGATGCGGGACAAAAATATAGTTCAAATATAACGTAGAAAGAAAATGAAGGTAAAGAGAATATTTCGAACTCTGATTGGATTCTGTTTACATGTTACAATTTTTATAATATATGAATTTTGACATAGGAAAACAGT